GTGTTTAATACTTAGATTATTGTGCTCTTTTCTGTTATGTATTCTGATTTTCCTTTTTTCTTCCTTTCTTTAAATTTAAGTTAGAAACAAGCTTGCTTCACATATCAATCCCAACTCCCTCTCTTTCTCCTCCTTCCCTGCATCCCCCCACCAAGCCCCCCAGTCCCTCACCCAATTTCCACTCTGATACCCAGGGAGGGTGAGGCCCTCCATGGTGGATCTCCAGAGTTTGTCATGTCATCCATACCAGGGCCTAGGCCCTCCCACAAGAGTCCAGGCTGAGAGACCATCCCTCATTGTGGGATGGGCACCCAAAGTCCATTTGTATGCCAGGGATAAATACTACCCAAGGCACCATAGATTACCTAGGTCTCCTCACTGATACCCACCTTCAGGGGGTCTGGATCAGTCCCATGCTTTCCACCCAGTCATCAGTCTGGGGAACAAGAGCTCCCCCTTGTTCAGGTCAACTGTTTTTGTGGGTTAAACCAGCCCAGTCTTAACTCCTTTGCTCATCAGTTCTCCATTTCTGACACTGGATTCCAGGAATTCAGTTCAGTGTTTGTCTGTGGGTGTCTGCCTCTGCTTTCATCAGTCACTGAATGAAGGTTCTGTTTCCCAGACTATCTGGCAGTGGGATTGTGTGCTGGCACTCTCCTGATCCATGTCTAAAATCCATATATGAGTGAGTACATACCATGTTTCTCTTTTTGTGACTGGGTTACCTCACTCAGGTTGGTTTCTGCTAGTTCCGTCCATTTGCCAGCAAATTTCAAGATTCCATTGTTTTTTTCCCACTGAGTAGTACTTCATTGTGTAAATGTACCACATTTTCTCTATCCACTCTTCAGCTGAGGGGCATCTAGGTTGCTTCCAGGTTCTGGCTATTACAAATAATGCTGCTACGAACATAGTGGAACAGACATCCTTGCTGTATGAATGTGCATCTTTTGGGTATATGACTAAGAGTGAAATTGTTGGGTCTTGTGGTAGACTGATTCCCATTTTCCTGAGGAATCTCCATTCTTATATTGGATTCATCACCCATGCTGTTGATAGTCCCAGGAAGCCACACTATATCCTATCCATATCTTATCTTAACTGCTTTCTATACACAGTACATACAAATAGTTGCCCATCTTAAGCGTGGAGTCTTATTTTGGGATATTGAATTGCAAAATCTGTATGTTTCCTAGTAAATAAATATTTATAGAAACAGACACATAAATGGAAAAGAGTAACCTTCTCCAAGAGTACTGGTAATTAACAGCTCAGTAACTTTAAATTTTTATTTTGAAATCAGCTCACAAGCTGATCGTATAGTGGGATATAGAAATACAAGCTGTGCATTTCAATGTGAGATCAAAGGCACAAGCTTCGGGAAGTACTGCTCTGAGTGTAATCCTAGTGTCTTTAACGGGAGGCAATTGATTCTCCTGATGCAGTTCAAGCTCATCCAGTCTTTTTAAGTTCAAAACCCATCAGGTGTGTGTGATCACAGAGTGGGGTGAGGATGAAATGATAAGAAGCTGTGTTTGTGTACCTTGAAAGGTATGGGAAAACGAAAATCTCAGGCTAGCTAAGACAATCCTGAACAATAACAAGAACATCAGGCCAAGCTCAAGGAAACCCCACAGAAAGAGAGGGAGGAAGAACTGTAGGAGCCAGAGAGGTCAAGGACACCAGGAGAATGAGGCCCACAGAATCAATAAAGCAGGACTCATAGAGGCTCGCCTATGCTAGGTCCTCTTCATACAGGCTGTGGTTGTTTTCCTGGGGTGTCTGACTTTTTCGCCTGCTCTTGGGACCCTTTTCCTCCTCCGGGGCTCCTTGTCCAGCCTTGGTAGGAGGGCTTGTACCTCGTCTTACTTACTGTGTCAAGTTATGCCATGTTCAGCTGATATCTATGTTCTGAAGGGAAACAGAGGAGCAGTGGATCTGGGGAGAAGGGAAGTGGGTTAGGGGGGCTGGGAGGGGTGGAGGGAGGGGAAACTGCAGTCGGGATATCACCAAGTGAGAGAAGAGGGCTCGGAAGCGATTAATTACAGCCTGGGTCTCAGGAGCAATAGAGAGAGAATACCGGAGCGACTCACACTTAAGATGGGGACACTATTAAGGACAAAAATCTGGGCTGGGCACGCCGTTGCTTGTGTATCGTTACTCAATAGTTTGCAGAGAGGTTACTTTCTTTTCTCAAAGGAGAGACTTATGAAAAACCAGCGCCTGTCGGTTTTCCCCGGGCGACACATCCACGGTGTGCGTTTGGGAGCCATTGCTGCCACAGAAGCAGCAAGTATGGGTCTTGGGCAGACCGGCGGCTTGTGAGCTGGGGCATAGGGATTGCCACACGGCCGTTTCATCGGCTCCCCCTAGCCCTGGCTCCAGAACCATCTGTGTGCACTCATCATTGTGTAAGCAAACACAAACAGACGATGAGCAACGTCTGTTTACACTGAGACTGTCCGGCATCCTCTGTCGCCTTAAGTTTCCTTTTTAAGAGCAACTGAATTTACTCATCATATTATCGAAATATTCCACCCTGGGAAGTCTCTTCTTCTAAGTTTCCTCCATCTGCAGCTGTCTTAGTCACTGTTCTATCGCTGTGAAGAGATGCCCGTGATTTTTATAAAAGTAGCCCTTTATGAAAGAAAACATGCAATTAGGGGCTGGCTTACAGTTCCAGAAGCTTAGTCCACCATCGTCATGGAGGCGGTTGGTGGCGGGCGGGGAGGGGGGCGGGGTCGACGGGACATGGGGGACATGGCAGAAGGCAGGCAGGCAGGCATGGTGGGGGCTATTCTTACTCAAATCGCCACAGCAGCCTAACGCTGTATATCCACATCTGCAGCAAGCTCAGGACCTGCCCGGGTCTACACCAGGTCCTTTGCGTCTCAGAGCTATTAGATTAGTATTTATGTGGGACTCCTGACCGTGAGAACCAGTGGCTCTGTGACTCCTGCGTCTGCTCTAGGACTCTTTCCCTCGTGTTGTGTCGCCGTGTCTGGCTTTCATAGGAAAGTTTTTGCTTCATCTTATTGTGTTTTATTTCGTCGTGTTTGGTTGCTATCATTTAGAAGTCTTGTCCTTTTCTAGTGAGAGACAGAAAGGGAGCTGACCCAGAGGAAAGGGGGGGTGGGGAGGAACTGGGAATAGTTAGGGGCTATAATCAGGATATATCGTATTGAAAGAACACTTTCAATAACAGGAAAAATGTGAAAAGGGAAGAAGAAAAAGCGGTATTTGTTTGTTTTTTGAGACATACGTATAAATAATGTATCTTGATGACAGCAATTCGACACTGCCTCCCTCCAACTCCCCATAGCGCCCCACTCCCCATCTCTTTCCCAAATTCAAGTCATCTTTTACGGTTAATAAATCCCTTAGTTCAGTTAGTGTTGCCTAGCATGTGCATGGGTGTGGAGCCATGTACTGTGTAATAAGGATAACCTATCCACGGCTGCGTCTCTAAAGGAGAGCGGCTCTCTCTGGGCATTCCATACTAGGCATTCTGACCAGTTATTACTCTCTGATTAACCGCTGCCCACTGATAAACTGGCTTCTCTGAGCAAAGTTAAGATCAGCACAAGGTCATACGCACAAACACAAGGGTGGTTTGGCAGCGTGTCTGTCACGCCCTTTAACGGGAAATGGATTGGCTCTTGTTTTCCCCTCTGTCTTCTGGTGGAAATGGATGCTGGAGATATGAACTGGTCTCCGCGCCTACAATTAAACTACCTTCCCAACTTCTTTTCTTTTTCCCTTTTCCCCTTTTTAAAATTTAAATTAGAAACAAGCTTGTTTTACGTGTCAATCCCAGTTCCCTCCCCCTTCCACCCCTCGCCTGCTCCCCACTGACCCCCTATCCTATCCCTTTTCTGCTCCCCAGGGATGGGGAGGCCTTCCATGGGGGATCATCAAAGTATCATTTGGAGCAGGGCCTAGACCTCCCCTGTGTGTCTAGGCTGAGAAAGTATCCTTCTATGTGGAGTGGGCTCCCAAAGTCCATTCGTATACTAAGGATACATACTGATTCACTGCCAGAGGCCCCATAGATTAACCAGACCTCCAACTGACATCCTCATTCAGGGGGTCTGGATCAGTCCTATGCTGGTTTCCCAGCTATCAGTCTGGGTTCCTTGAGCTTCCTCTTATTCAGATCAGCTGTTTCTGTGGGTTTCTCCAGCCTGGTCTTGACCCCTTTGCTCATCACTCCTCCTTCTCTGCAACTGGATTCTAGAGTTCAGCTCAGTGTTTAGCTGTGGGTGTCTGCTTCTGCTTCCATCAGCTACTGGATGAAGGCTCTGGGATGGCATATACGGTAGCCATCAATCTCATTATAGGGGATGGGCCTTTAAAGCAGCCTCTCAGACTATTGCTTAGATTGTTAGTTGGGGTCAACCTTGTAGATCTCTGGACATTTCCCCAGTGCCAGATGTCTCTTTAAAACTATAATGGCTCCCTCTACTCCCAACTTCTTAGACTAAACTTTAATGTCTCTTGGCTAATTATTAATCATCTTTCAGCTCCTGAGTAGCAGATGTTCTCTATAAAAATGTCTCAGATGTCGTCCAATCACAGCCACGCATGCAACTCCTAGGACAGCCCTTTCAATTGGGCTTCTGCAGCATTCTATGCATGTCCCCACCAAAAGACTGAATTGTTTAGTGCCCCTTCCAGCAAAGCATAAGCTCTTGAGAGCCGGGACCCCATGCCTTCACTATCCATTACAGTGCCTACCATTGACCAGGACACAAACGGATTTCTTGATATGGTTAATCAAGGACATCTCATTACTCATTCCACGACAAAGCTGATAGAGGAGTGAAGACAACATCATTTATCCAGCCTGAGCTCTATCTCGTGATATTCCCCCAAAGCCTTCCAAGTATAAATGATATCTCAAAAGCATCCTCACTTTAGGGGTTGAGCATTTTCTGGCCATTATTTAACGTTTAAAAATTGGCTACACGTTGGAAAGACACACACAAAGAGAGAATGTGTAAATGTTGGAGATACATTTTGCAATTTTCACCCAGCGAACATTGTATTCATTTATAACAGAACAATATTCCCTCTTCTGTGAAATAAGGATATTAAAAAGTCCTAATAATTCAATTGCTGTCACTTTCATGAGTATTTTTTCTAGTGTAGCCAAAGGACAAATGATAATGAGGCTTTTTTGTGAGTGACAAAATGTTCACTTGTCATCAGCATATCTGGCTCTTCTCTTACTGCAAACCCTGCTGCAGTCTGTCCGCTCCCTGTTTCCCACAGTAGAGTTCCAAGTTCCTTTATTTCTTCCTATCTGTTTCTGGAAAGGGTCTAACTGGCGGCATTGAAACCATAGCTTCCTTATTTACATAATGCCTCTTCCTGCCCAATCCATATCCTGGTGTTTTCAGTGAGGTAGGCTCAGGTTATCACTTATCCAGGTGTAGGAGGTTAGGGCCACTGTCTGCCGTCTGGCAATGTCCTCGTGAATAACAAGGGTGCATCTTATAGTTCAGATTAAGCACATCAGTACCTACATGAGCTTCCCTCTGACTCGGAGTGTCGCCATGCCTCTATCGTGGTGAACGGTGAGTTTGGGTGGTTGGTCCCTAAGAGAGTAAAGTGGACCACACTGTTTCTGGGCTCATAATCTCCTGAGGCTGCTGGTTATCTCTTGTGGAATTGTGGAGGTTATTATTAACTGCCTACTGGCAGCTAGTTTGAAAGTTTGAAGTAGCACAAGGCCTAAAGAGCCTTCACTGTGCACTCGACATTCAATTTCTGCCCCTCCTACAAAGCCCAGCACAAAGCTGTTTCTAAAGCATCCAAACTCCAGTTGCCAACAATGCTCTCTTTTTAGACTCCACAGAGTGTGTCTGCCACATACAATTTATGTCTAGGGACACACCATCCCCTGTTGCTTGATGTTCCCTTACATGGGGTGCTTTTGTTAGATCCCTTGGGAGCCGCAAGTATCTTTCTTACTTGTATAAAGCCTTTTCTTGCTTCATAACCACGACTTGGTGTTTGTTCTTTAGTGGATTCTCTCCTAGTGTGTGCAAGACAAAAGCTTGATCATTCCCAGGACACACACACACACACACACACACACACACACACACACACACACACACACACCAGGGCGTTCTACCTCAGTGAGGCAGTTAGCACAACACGGTTGCTGATATTTAACGAATCTCAATGAAGATTTGTTCACTGGTGGGGATTTTAGAAAACAAGGAAAAACAAAAGTATCACATGCTGTGACATAAGAGGCACTAACAATAGGGAACTGCAAATATGATGGCTGATATCTCTTCTAGGACCTTTATGTTCTCACTGTAAGCCATTCCCCGGAAGACCTCTAGGGCAGGTGCATTCTGGCTGTTCTGAAGTCTAGCAAAGAGTCACAGGCAAATATTTCAAATTCTTTATACACACACACACACACACACACACACACACACACACACAAATATGTTCCTTTGTATTGTTTTATAAGCCACCTTGGAGGGCAGGCCCCAGGCTTCCACAGATGTCTTCAGTGACCCGCGCACAGGATGGGACATTCCACAGAAGTTCTTGGATCCTAACACAAGGCCATGCAGGGTGAGTCACACGGGGGACTGAGAAAAACCAGATGCTTGGGAAAGAAGCAACAGGAGCCATTGCAAATACTGTACGGTCTAGACAGAATGCTTCATTGGTCTGGAGATAAACAAAGTAGGCCAAGGGTGAAATGTGTGAGCTCAGTCAGCTTTACCCAGGAGAATTCCAGCTCCTATCTTCAGGAAACAGCTAAGGCAAGTTTACGCTACCATGGGCAAACTTGGCACACGCTTTACTCTGTCAGTGCCTTTGATTTTACCGCACAACACATCCACGTCACAAGCACTTTCCTGTATCCCACACTTAATCTTGGGTTCCAGGGACACTCGCCTCCTCCCTGAAGGTGCGTGGGTACCTGTCGCTGCCGAGGAAGGATGAGTGACTTGGAGCTTTGATTAGGCTGTTTACTCTCCTCATGTGCTGTCTGAAGAAGATTCGTATTTCTAGCATCTCTACCAATGAGAGATTTCCACAGTTCGAGGGCTGGATGTAGGAGAAGCGTTATCTCAAAGCTTCAGGTGCTCTCTGCAGATGGTGTGTGTGAATCTGTATGTGAATCTTCTCATTCTTGCCAGCATGAACGTCTGCACAGATCTTTCAGCTAACAGGCTAGAAAAGCAACACTGGCTTGCAACAGCTGTCCCTCCTTCTCATCAAATGACAGGAACCCATCCAGTCTGGACGACACTAATAGAAGGAGAGCTCTGTCACTGGTGTCACCAACCTGCACGAGATGTTGCCAGGGCAGTGTCTCAAACTTCCCAGGAAAACTTCTCGAGATGGCTTTGTTTCCTGTCATCTCTTTCAGACCCTTACTTCGAGGCCTTGGATCCTGTATCACTTAGTCCAACCAGCCTGACCAACTTCTTGACTTATTATTCTTTAGAGTTTAATTGGACTTGTAATTAACATTCTCTTTCTTGACTGCCCTACGCCCCTGTTGACATCCTTCCAGGATTTCAGCTTCCACATTCCTCGAAGAGAATTCCTTGATTGTGCATGAACTAACTCCATGGTCTTGTTCTCCATATGACTATCTGGGAAGGCTGTGTTGAGCAGTTCTTTAGAAATCAGTGAATAATCTATCAAGTCTAGTTTAAATGTGTGTGTGTGTGTGTATGTGTGTGCGTGTGTGAATACTTAAAACATCCAAAGTCTCTATCAGTAGGTAGATAATGTTTACTCTAATTACTAACTAATCAAATTAATGCTGAAACCAACCAGCCCTGGACAGCCTCATGGGGCCAAAGTCAGAGAAGGCATCTGTAATTTTCCTTGTAGACCAACTTTTGACTTCTTAAAAAAAAAAAAACCTAATTTGAGATCCAAAGCTTCTAGATGGAATTCACAATTAAGCTGGCAATCTATTAACACAACCGCAGCACGCAGAAGCCATACAAATAAGTGAAGGGATAAAAGTAGGCTTAAGCAAGCAAGTCTTCTGGAGGACATCAGGGGCAAGTGTGTCCATGTGGATGTGGATGCCTCGAACACCAAGAAATGTATTTTAAACTGTCAGCTTTTCAGGCAGTCTTAGTCAAACACCCGAGTCTGCATTCCCAAGATAAATTCCATTTTCCACGCCTCTCAGACCCGGTGTGGGAAGTTAAGCAGCAATGTTTTCCTTTGTGTTCATGTTTATTTGTGTTCCCCAGCATTGTCTCCGTGACGTCTCCATCTGCCTAATGGAGAAGAAAGCTCCTCAGTTCCAGCCTTTGGACCTGTGGTCTGATTGGACATTTCCACCTAGAAAAATTTCCCCTATCATTTCCATTGTTTTTCAAATCAAGCAGCCCTTTTGCAGGACAGCTCAAGTCATATCTTTACTGTGATCATCCCAGCCAGTCATGCCTTGATCTCTCTTGTTTCCATGGTCTTTTGAATGTATAGCTCACTCATTGTTTTGCTCATTATTCAGACATTCAGACATTGCTTGATTACACAAAGCAAAAGCCTAGGCTTTGGAAAATGTTTCTGAGGAAGTAGATTAGCATCTAACCTCAGCTATTATTTCTATCAAAACATTACTCTTTAATTGTTGGTGTGTGTGTGTGTATGTGTGTGTGTGGGGGGGGGAGGGGTATTGTGTTCCTAAATATGTAAATACAACCTTATCCATCTGTATAATGTTACTTGCATTTGTTAAGATTTCAGAGCAGACAATTTGGTATTGGATAGCCAATTTGTGTGTTCTTCTTAGTGCTGGAAGGTGCCCTGCATCCCATCAAAGGACAGGCACAAACAAGAACCCAGCTGCAAGTCCTTCAGTCTAGTGTGTTGCCCTCCCTGCAAGCCATGTTAGAGCAATGGTGGCCACAGAGCTTGTGGAAGTCACCAGCCAACCTCTGATTTGATTTAAGGCCCACTCTGCGAGACTCAACCCAAACCCAGTGTTGTCTGGGTAACAAAGAAGCCGAAACTAGATACCCCAGGGACCTAAAGGAATACCAACTGCTACCAAAGGAATGTAGCAATCACATGACTCCTAAAGGCATTCTGCTATACTCACAGGTCAGTAGTGCCTTGCTTAATCCCATCTTGGGAGATAGCGTCCTCCTGTAGTAGAACAAACACAGAAACCCACAACCAGACAATGTTCAGAGAGGGAGAGCTTTAGGGAACACTCAGTCCTTTAAAAAAGTCTCCATCAAATTCCTTTCCTCGGGGCTCATGGAACCCTGTGCAAGAGGAGGCAAGGGACTGAGTGTAAGAGCCGGAGGGGACAGAGGGAGGACACAAAATAAACAAGAGCTTCTTAACAACACTGCAGATGCACATATGAACTCACAGAGCCTGGGGCAGCACACAAAGGCCCTGCACGGGTCTGTACCTGATTAGAGCTGAAAGGAGATGTGGACGCGTGTACCTGTCCCCTCCCTGAGGCAACATCTAATTGGTAACTACACTTGCAAGGGAAAAATTAGTTTTCTCCAAAGGAGTCTCGCTGGGGAAACAAATAACTCTTAAGGGTAGACTCCATGTCTAGCAGTAGATGGCCAACAAAAAACGAACTCAATGGCATCTTTGTAGGTTCCTTGTTGCATGTCAGGGCTTTTTAAAAAACTTTTATTTTATTGTATTTACCTTACCTACAGTTTTACATGTATATTATGGGGTTCCTGTCTACATGCATTTTTTGTACCATCTCTTAGGCTCTTTCCCTTCTGTTTGTTTTGTCCTATTTCGATTTGTTTGTTTTTGTTCTATCTTATTTTATTTTATTATCCCTTAGATGCTGTTTGTTTTCTAATCAGAGACAAAAGAGGGGTGGGTCAGGAGGGGAGGAAGGGAGAGAAGAGAACAGGGAGGGAAAACCATAAGTAGAATACAACACACGAAAAATCTCTCAATAAAAGAAAAACTATATTAAAATATTAAAAATAAAAACAACTATATACATAAAGAAATCTAGAATGTGACCCCATATGCTGAGGGAAATACTAAAACAATTGCCTGAAAATCAGTAAGAGCTGAAATTTGTATTTCAGGTGAGTCCCTAGCATAAGAATACCCTACAATAATAAAAAGAACAATAACCAGCTATAGTAAACTCATACTAATGGAAAGAATTTGATCCTCTCATTCACATAATATTACACCTTAATGCCCATCTTTCAACAGAAACCACAAGACACAAAAAGGAACAGAAAATTAAAGATTGCTACAAATCATAAACCTCTAATTCATAGAAATCACTCCTGAAAAGCAGTATCCTAGACAAAGCCTGCAGAACAATTACCTTCAGAGAAGCAGACGAAGATGTGGGAAATAGCAAAGTTGGCGGAAAATGGTTGAAATGGTGACGTTGACAAGGAGACACCGGACCCACAAAGACACTAGAAAGAAAATCTGAAGACGAAAAGCACAGATGATAGATGGCTGCCGCACGAGATGGGTTTGCAGGCGACTCGACCGGGCGAAAAACAGAATCAATAAACTCAAATGTGACCAGTAGAAAGTCAAGCCAGTTCTAACTGACGTGCTGGATACCATTAACTCTGGGAATTCCAGGAGGAAAAGAGAGAGGATGGATAAAGAAATGATGATTGGAACAAATTCACAAGCTTTACTACAAATATGAATACCTGAGAAACTCAAATGAGTCCACATCAGATAGCAAGGAGACTCATACAAAGATTCTTTATAACCAAAGGCAAGCATAGAAATTGGAAAGCAGCTGAGGGAAGCAATTTATCATACGCAGGGGAACTCTCGAATGATTAGTAAGCATCTCCCCAAGATCTTTAAAGTGTAGCAGACACAAAGACAATATACTCAAGCGCTAATGAATAAGAGAAAAAGTTATCAGCCAATATCCCCTACACGTGCCAAGACTTCCCTTAAAAACAGAGGTAGAAATTAAGGCATTCTTGGATAAATTAAAACTGAAAAGACCAAGTCTGCAAGGAAGGCCACAAACATCCTCGGAGGTCAAAAGAAAGAGCATTAAATAGCAACTTTGAAGACGAACAGTTCAGATGAACTACCAGACAATTGTATAAGCCTGTATTATTTTTTAATTGGGTATTTTTATTTGTGAAGGTACTTGATGGTTATTACTTTGAAGATCAATAGTTCAGATGAACTACCAGACAATTGTATAAGCCTGTATTATTTTTTAATTGGGTATTTTTATTTGTGAAGGTACTTGATGGTTATTACTTTGAAGATCAATAGTTCAGATGAATTACCAGACAATTGTATAAGCCAGTATTATTTTTTAATTGGGTATTTTTATTTGTGAAGGCACTTGATGATTATTACAGAAGGTACCATTTGAGAAGAAATACCATATATATTTAAAATACTTTTGTTATTTGCAATTGTGTTTTAGTTTTACTGTATGTCACTTATGCGGAGCAGGCATTGCTTTCTGACTACAGTAACGTGTGAAACGGGTCTTTACAAAGCTATCAACAAATCCACTTTATTTTGTTTTGTCTTATCTCGGCTCTTTGCCTGTTTTATATTCATGTATCTTAATCTACACTTAACTAATTATTAGCCATTTTTGAAAAGGGACAATGATCGTGTAACTTCAAAGGAGAATTTTGCCTAAAATAATGACAGAGTCCTGGGACAAACCTGCATTATTGCAACAATAATCTGTAACCTTTTAAAACTTTTTAACCCATTTATATTTCTACATAGCATTTCACAATATTTGTCCACTGTTTGGAGTCTTATAACTATTTTCCTTGTGGTTACTATGGAGATTGCAGTTGACATTATCATTTGAATTTATATAGGTATAAATTGCATAACATAAAAACATTGCTTTTCTTTCTCTCTCTCTCTTTACAATTATGTGTTCATGCCTTTGGTTGATGTCACAAAATTACGTCTTTCTCTTGTACAGTCCTAGACATGAACTGGTAACTCCTCTGAAGGTATTCATCGCAAACCAAAATTATAATCACTGGTATATACCACCAGCTTTCCAACTCCTAATGGTTTACGTATTTGATCAGATTAATAATACATTTTAAAATGATTAATAGTGTGAAACAAATGTGAGAAAGGAATTTAAACATTTCACACCCCCCCACACACACACAAAATGAACTGACCCCAAGCAGTATGTGGTGTTAGGGAATGAGAGAGGAAAGATACAAACCTGCCAGCCATGTGGGTGAAGCTGTCTGACAAGTGGCCCCAGTGGCTCCAGCTGAGGCACTTTCAGGACTCAGGAGCTGAGCCAGAAGGGTTCCCATGGATTAGAGGCCAGCCTGGACTACAGTAAGTAGGGCAGCCTGAGCTAAAGAATAAGAATGGGTCGGGGGAGGCAGAAACTTAGGAATTAACTTACCCAAGTAGAATAACGCCTGTATGTTGAAAACAACAAAAATCCCTGAAAGCAATTAAAGAACATTTAAGTAAATGGAAACAAACTCCAAGGTAATAAGTTGGATGGCACAATATTGTTAAGACGCCAATACTATCCAAAGTGAACTTTAGATTCAGTATAATTCCTATCAAAATTCTAATGTCATTCTTTTCATAAATAGAAAGATCCATCTAAATTTTTTATGTGAAATCATAAGGAGACCAGAATAGTCAAATTGTCTTGAGGGGATAAAAGACCAGAGAGAGAACTCACCTTTCTTGATTTCAATACTTATACTGCAAAAAATAAGAGTAATCCCATCTGATGGGGGTTGTCCTTCTGTATATATGCTTCTCTTATTGATTAATGAACGAAACACTGTTCAGCCAATGAGGCAGGAAGACAGGCAGGACTAGGAGACAAGGAGAATTCTGGGAAAGGCAGGCAGAGAGGGCCTGCGAGAACAGTCGCCATGTGAGCCGCCAAAGAAGTTAGAGGTCTGGACCATTCTCCGGTGAGACAAGATCACGTGGAAGCTCTTAAAGCAACAGAAAAGGGGGGAATATTTAAGACAGAGCTAGCCCATAAGAAGCCCAGGACCCCGGCTGTAAAACTAACATGTCTTCGTGTGTGTATCTGCAGCTCAAGGGCAGCGGGACCCTGCTGGGCCAGAAAACTTACATCAGCACCCATCAGCGTAGGAGAGCCGTCAAGAGGGATGTACAGAGCCATAAAATGTGATGGAACGCACAGAAATAAACCTCCGGCGTGTGCGGCACGCGGTTTTCAATTCGCGATCCCAGAACATTCAACAGGAAAAGGGACGATCTTTCCAAGAAATTGTTCCTGGAATATATATATCGCCATACTAAGAAATGAAGTTTGACCCTCATCCACCGCCATATATAACAACTAATTCTAGATTGGAAAGTATGTGCCAAAGGCTGGGTGTAGAGACTAAGAGACGGGATGGGAAATGGAAATACGTTGATCACAACACAATCTCTGCTAGACCACAGTAAGCTTTGGTGACGTGTTACATTGTTTGGTAATGGCAGGTAGCAATACTATTTTTATTGCATGCCTCAAAATTGCTGCAAGAATGATTTTTTTTTTACATTTCCGTCACACACAAGAAAACAAGTTGATGATGTGATGTTAATTAACTTGATCGAATGCCTTTACAGTGTATACATAGATAAAACCCTCACATTGTGACCAGAGACACAATTCTTATTTGGTAATTAGAAATTAATAAAAAGACATAAAACTAAGTCAAGCTATTTCAAAGGCCTGCGTACAAGACTAAAACTATAAGATCTCTTATGAATAGGCTAGAAATTTCATGACAGTGAATTTTTTTCTAGGATTGTGTGTGTACATGTGTGTGTGTGTGTGTGTGTGTGTGTGCGTGTGCACATTCACAGGTGCCTGCTGTGCACTCTGAGGGCCAGGACATGTCAGGAAAGCACCTACCACTGAGCTTCCCAGTGCTGTAAAGCGCCATTACTAGATATCCCGTACTTTTGAATTGGAAGTTTTTCTGTGAATGCATACGTGAACATTCTTTAGCTCCGTGGCCCTGGAGCTGATGCTCTCTAGAGGGTTTACGTCGCTTATAGTCCCGTAACTGATGCTGAATGCCCATTTCCTTTTCCTGTCTTCCATTGGACTCGCATGACCCATTTGCCTTGTCTGCCGTGTCCCCAAAAGCATCCGAGCTTCCAACGTCCTTTTAAACATAGGAACATCTACTTTGTTTGCTTCATGCAAATTTTCTTAGCAATTTTAAATATCGTCTTGTTTTCGCTTTAGGTGTCAAAAGTTCTACTTATGATGAGAGTTTTCACTAACCCCCCCCCCAGGAAAAAAAAACTTCATTTTGGAAGTTCTTAACGATTTGCTTTCAAATAACACTCTTGATTTTCAAGAACTTCTGATCCGGCACTCTTTCCCTGATCTCTTTCTGTCCTCCATCTAGTTTGGCTTAAACTGGGAAGGTCCCCTCCCTGCCCATTTCCTTAAACACTGGAAGGAAGCTACTATTCTTTCAATTAAGAGCAAAGAAAGTCTTCCACGGGTTTGAGAGGCATCTGGATTTACACATTACGGTAAGTCAGCTCCAGGGCCTAAGAACTGGTTCCTCGATGGACCACAAAATTGTCGTGTTCTTCTCTTCAAATGAGACCCAAGAAACCAACCTGGCACTCATGGAAGGCTGAGCACGGGAGCCTAGCTGTGCAGCACAGCGAGCGATTCTCTTCCTAATCCACACAGTAAATATGCAATCAAGTCTCACGACACTGTGAACTAATGGAGTTCAGTGACTAGGGGGTCTTTGGAGAGCAATCAGGTGCTATTAAAATATGCTAATGGTAGCTTGTGATTGAGCAGCAGGACCCCAGGATTTGGGGTTGGCATGGCAACTGCCAGCTGAAAGTTCATGCAGAACCGGAGGGAGAGAGTTAGAATGAGCTGCTTAAGTCCAAGTGTTAACGAAGAGTGTGGAGCGCGGTTGTGCAGCTGAGAATCCCAGGGAAGGCTTGGTGCCCTCATGCCAAACACAACCCAAACTCACAAAACGCGACGCCAGAGGGGAAAGCTGGGTGCCTCCCACTGCGGGCTCCCGTGGTAGATAGAGAGCCAGCCTATGCGGAGAATTCGGTGCTCAGGGCGAAGACTTTTACCGAGGACCCAGGAGTCTGTTGCATGCAGTCTCAGTGTTTCATATGTGGATGGCAGAAGTGTCCTATCTGGACGTGTCTTCTAGCCAGGGCGGACAGAAAAGGCCTGATAGCCAAAGGCTTTCACCAGTCTACTGTACTTAGGGAGGTGCAGATGGCGGGGGCGTTTACTCTTTGAGCCTAACTGAATGCCAAAGGGGGAAAACAACAAATAACAAAAGGAGGTTCCTCCTCACAAGCTTGCCTCCATCACATGGAGAGGCTGAAAGTGGGGTTTGCACCAGGCGGACGCGCTGTATGGAGAGGGCGTGTGGCACGCGCACGCGAGCATGAGTGTGTGTGTGTGTGCGTGCACGTGTGTGGCACGCGCACGTGCGTGTGCTCTCACATAGCTGGCCCTCTACAGCCACACCCATCTCTGTCTGAAGCCGGAAGGTCGGCCTCTGCCACTAAGGGCTGGAGAGCACCCAGAACAAGACTCCTGTTTTCCCATTTCAGGGGCTTTATAAATGCCCCTGGAAGTGATTTCTTCTCATGGCAGTTGCGCAGCATCCCTTAGCTTTGCTAGTGAATACAGCTAACGGGGATTGCATTCAGTAGAAGCAGTGTGGACGGGAGCACGGGGAGACGGTCAGCAAAGGGGCTGGACCGGCCCCAGGACACACCCAGAGAGGTTCTCCTCTGTAGAAGACATGAAGCTGCTAAAACAGAAACGAGGCACATCTCTGGAGGGATTGGTGGGGAAAAGGAGAGAAAAGCAGACTCAACTGTGAATTAAGTGGGCTGGGCGGGGAGCAAGGAATGCTGGGAAAGCTAAGGGAAGGTCAAGGCGTGATCTGCTGCAGGAGAGTGGGGGCAGGCGTTGGACCGAGTTGGCCCCTTTAAAACTTAGGTTTCCATCCACGGTGTCCTCAGCTGGGCCCGAAGCCCTTGCTTTGGGGTGGGGAGGGAAGTTTTGTCATTTGAAAAAACACAATTTTAAAATTACTTAGACACACTTCCGTTTCTTACTCACCTCCTTCCTTCTCTTTGAAATAATAGCTGCTTAAGGGAAAACCAGGGGAGAAAAGCCGGGGGGGGGGGGCGTGCAACTTAAAACAATTGCTATTGTCCTGGGCCAGCTCAATTTAGCAGGAGTTGACAGGTGTACTCCTGTCACGCAGATGGATCTAGGCAATGTCTTCACATAAATAACCTCAGAGGGCACCGAGGTTTTGTGGAGACAGTGTGAAGTTTGCCTGGTTTGCCGGGTCAGGATGCCAATACATCATCCTAGGACCCCCCCCCTCCCCAAAGAGCTCAGGAAAGGGTTAGGCAGGGGCGAGATCGTGTCAGATAATATCTGATTCTTACCATGGATCACATTGTCAACAGCTCTGCAGGAGAAGAGCGCCCTTCCTTCCAACGCGGGTAACAGGGATCTGTTTGTTCTCTTGATTTAAGCGATCATTTGAGGCACAGCTTGGGCTTAAAATGCCCAGTGTCATGGTCTGCTCATTAGCTAGATCAAGTTCTGCATCCTGTGCTGCTAATAGCACTTCCCGAGGAAATAGGCTGAAATTCTAAGATAAAAATCACTAAGAAGCCCAGTGACTCTAAGGAGCCAGGCATATTTTTAAGGGTGCCTAAATGACTGTAGTATTTCACCTAAACAAAGACAACGATGTCTTGGTCTCCTGGGAGAGCTCATGGTGGTGTGTCAGAGGCCAACGGGAAGCATCTCATTGCTCACACGGTAAACTCAGGCATAATAAATCCTGTGGGATTCGCTTGTTGTGACGGCTCAGAAAATAGATCCCTGTTCCAGAGGAGTCTTTTGTTTGCAAAAATCATGGGAACACCTGTGATTCATCCCCCAGGAATTTAAGTAGACTATGTCCTTCACGTTCATCATCAGGGCATGTTTGCATGAGGTTTAATCTGAGAGAGCCGCCAAGTCAGACAGGGTGTTACTGGGTGAGCCAGGATTTCCTCTGTTAGGGCTCCCTCTTGTGGGAATCTCATTAATTAACCTGCAAAGGAAGGGGTCCAATACCTGCTAGTCTCAGGGTGGGTCTTACCTGGACTTTCTCTGATTCTACACAGCCTGAACTCGCCAGTGCCAACCTTTCCCATTCCTCCTTCGTTAACATTCCCCCAGAGTCTGACACTGAGACCTGTTGCTCTCCCCCAGGTCACCTGTACTTGCATGAAGCAATCTTCTCCAAATTGAATTTACATTTTTTCCTTAAATTTTATTGTTGCTGTTGTTGTTGAGGGACACTGTGGGGAGGGCATGGGAGCCACACAGCACGGGTGCGGAGGTCAGAGGACGGCTCTGTGGAGTCAGTAGTTCTCTCAGCCAGACTTCCATAGCAAATGTTATACCCACGGTGTCATCTTGTCAGCCTGTCTCCTAAATTTTTTTTTGTTTTTTTGAGACAGGGTTTCTCTGTATTGTTTTGGAGCCTGTCCTGGAACTCACTCTGTAGACCAGGTTTGGTCTCAAACTCACAGAGATCCACCTGCCTCTGCCTCTCGAGTGCTGGAATTAAAGGCATGCGCCACTGTCTCCAAATTTTTAAGCAACCTTCACGCCCTAGCCTAGCAGTCTGAGAAAGGCTCCTTCATCCTCTAAGCCTGGAGTTTGCCCACTCCTGTGAGACTTTCTGGCTTCTTTTGACTCCTTAGCATCTCTCACTTGACCAGCTTCCTGGAGCTCAGGGGTTCTGTTTGCTTCCTCTGTCTGTGCAGTCTCTGATTGTGACCTCAGCGTCCAATCTGTTGTCTGGCAGGTAATAAGTGCTGTATATGGTTTGGATAATGAATATCAAGCCCCATACTCTCGTTATTATATACACTCGTTTAACCACCAACACCTATACATCCAGTGTGATTCTCGGGCTTTATTGGATTGCCCTCGGTGTATACACGAATTTCTAAGCAATTACCCACACCAGCTGTGTCAAACACTCGTGCACTATGGAAGGAACTGGTAAGGCAGTTAATGAGAAGTATGTTGACAACCAGGGAAGAATGGCAACTTCCAATGCCAAGGAAAAGCAGTTGTCAGACCAAGATTTTCCTGTTGAGAAGGCAAAATCCTCAGCGGCTTTTCCCACCCTGGCAGCCTTCGTGGGGACCGCTATCGCAAGAAATTTCTTGTCAGGCCTGAGAGTGACTAGCGGTGTCATCAGAGGCAATTTTAATCATGTTTCAAGGTGCTTTTGAGCCTGGTGCATCAAAGGTCCCGAAGCAGGTGTTAGTTTTTATTAAACTCCTGCCTTCGTGCGTCCCGAGCCAAAAGCTCTGGTTTGGATGACCTCTGTGGAACTCCAAATCCCCCAAATCACTCAGCCTCCTCTGAACATACCTAATATCTTGGCTTCTCTTCAGACTCAAGAAATAACCCAAGACTGTGTGAGAGGCCTTGGAGAAGGACAATTATTGGGAACGACTGTGTTACCTGGGACTCTAAACCTTCCAATCACCTCATCACTATTCTGAAGTTCCTTGGCAGCCCTTAAGTACAATTGCTATGAAATCTGCAAGACAAGGAATGATTCTCAAAGAAGCATAAATTCAGAGGATAGCTTGTGGGCCCCTGACTTTATTGATTAACAAAGCCCTGCTCCAGGGCGGGAAGGGACCAAAGCTATGCGGGAGTTCTGGATGGGAGGCATCGCCACCAGCGTCTTGTTCTACTGTCTGGACCACGGTGGGTGACGCCTTGCTTCCTGTTTGCACCGTTCAGAATTTCTTTGTGTTCTTCAGTTGGGGCCTGAATTTTCCTGGGTGAAATATCCAAGTGTCTCCTAAAGAATTTAAGATGAACTCAGAACTAACTCAATCAACACGTTGGATGTGTCACCTAGACTTCCGAGTACGAAGGGGAAATTGGTGTGAATGGTATAAAAGCTGTAAAACTTACCGGTAAATCTCTATCCACTATGAGGTTTTCACTTACCTTCCCAGAGAACACGGTGGTGAGTACCTTTCTCCTCTGAGCCCGTACTGCCCCGGGACAAAAACGCAGCAATCGTGTTCAAGGAAGGAAGTATAAGACAGCTTCACAACACATGACTGGAGCTCTAAAGAAGGCAAAGCGCTTGGCCACCCAGAAGATATTAGGTGAAAGGTAGTTTTCAAAGCTCAGCCCACCTCAAGCTGAGAAGAGCTGAAGTAGGACGGCGGTTCACAACAGCTCACCGAGGGGCACAGCGTAGGGAAGAGCTGCGTTGTGAGAGAGGCAGGAAGGAGGTGTGCTTTAGTCCTCTCAGAAAAGCAAAACGCAAGCTGCAACCAGTTCGGTCCTTAGCAGTCAGTCAGTGGATGCTAGCCCTCTCCACGCACACGGGAGAGAGAAACGAGAAGGCTGTGGGAGTCTAGGCTGTGGCTGCTGTCCTTGAACATGACATGAACTATCACCTCCAACAGCGCCCCAACTCTGAAGCACCTACAGCCCACCTGGAAGTCATACCTTTCCCTGCCATCTTCAGGCCCACACTCCAGCCAGTAGCCAACTTGCAAGAACAGCCTTAGTCTCCCACAAAAGGCAAAACGTCAACAATAGATATTAAAGCAAATAAATACAATTTTATGTTTTGTTTACTTTTTAGATATGAGGGAACTGCGTGCGTGGAAAGCACTTTAAACGCTGTGTAAAAATCAATGTGGCCCACCTGTGATGGCTTCTGAGCTGGATTTCCAAACACTTTTTAATCAGTGTTTGGTTTGTTGTAATTAATGTAATTAATTGTGGTGATAAAGCATATGTAATTGTATCTTAACTTATAAAAACTTTCTTGCAACATTGATGTACATTCAAATAGTTTAATAGCTGGAGGATAATAAGGCTGTACGTCACGCACTCATTATTTTACAGAAACCCTAAATTCATGACACGGTGAGAAGCATCCTCAGTAACACAGTGTTTTCTTTCTTTAAAAGCACTTTCTAAGAGGAGACTTACTGGGCTGGTGTTGTTTAAGAGGGTCTAAAAGTGACCCCAATGTAAGATCCATAAGAAAAGAATGAGCAGGCAGAGTCTTGCCAAATTAAAATGATGGCTTTACCAAGGTATTGCCAAAATAAAGATGAGGTTCACAGATTTGCAAAGGATATTTGAAAATCATGTTCTGGGCATGAAGTTGTGGGTAGGCAGGGTAGGTCATGCCTGCATCCCAGCGCTCTGGAGACAAACATGGGAGTTTGGGAATCTGAGGCCAGCCTGGAGACCTGTCTCAAAACTGAAGGCTGGAGTTGGAGCTCAGAAGTAATGTGCTTGTATAGAAAGTGCAAGGCCAGACAGAAAGGAGATGAAGAGTTAAGCAGAAATCAAACAAGCATACCAATCAAAACAGAGGCAAAACTCTGGTATACTTTACCAAAAATGATACAATGGCAAATAACACATGGAAACCATTAAGTATCAACAGCCATTATAGACAATTAAACATGACCAGAATTTGCTGCCACTACACACATTTGGAACAGTGAAAATGTTGGTGAGGGATTAGTGGTCTCCTACTTTGGGACTGGAAATTTAAAATGGCATCGTCACACTGAAAAAAATTATCTTATATGAACATGCCCTCACCATCTGACACAGCAAGCCTGTCCCTAGGTATTTGTCTTGGACTAGTGAGAACAAATTTACATGTATACATATGTTCATAATCTCTAAAATTAGAAATCACTCAATGTTCTTTAATGAATATATGGACAAGCAAACTATGACACATCTACACAATGAAAAATTATTATCTATTAAAAGCTATCAATGTAAAAATCCAGCTTGAATAAACTTTAGGTATTGTACTGGCTAGTCATGTCAACGTGACTCAAGCCAACTAGAGTTTTCTGAAAAGAGGGAACCTCAATTGAGAAAATGCCTCTACCAGATCAAGTTTCGGGCAAGCGTATAGGACATTTTCTTAATTAGTGATTGATGGGGGAGAGCCCAACCCATTGTTGGTTGCTACAAGCAGTAAGATCACGCAGTAATTATACAATCATCATCTCATGAAGAGTTAAGAATTCTTGTGATAGATTAAACCAGGATTCAAGGTATATTGGAACATAGTCTTATGAATAAAAGTGGATGTTTCTTGCTGTAGATTCTTCCTTGTTGGATTCTTCCCCCATAGGGACTGCTGACGAGCTTGTGACTAGAAGCAAGCATATCCTGTTCCCCTCCTTTCAGTTAGGCCTGTATGCAAGTTCCTGTTTTCTGCCCATCCTTATAGTCTGAATTCAAGCTCCTGTTATCCGCCCATCCTTACTGCTGGAAGGCCCTGGGTACGTGAGTTTCTGACCTTGGTAGTTTTCCACCGTGCCTGTTGACTGGTATATAATGCTCCACTCTTGTTACAAGAATGAGCCACTGCCTTTTGTCTTCATTTCAATCCTCGGGCCCTCGCCCAAATTCTTGAGAAGGGTTCCGCTTGTACAGGCGCTACACTTCCTGTAGCTTATTTCTTTCTGCAACAAACTTGGGATTTAGTTCCTATAGTTTAGCACTATCTGATCATTTACTGAGAACAATTTCTTCCATGCATTTGGAGTTTACTGATTATGTTCCTTAGCTGTGTGTGAGACCTGTTTCCCACTATCAGGTCCTTGTTCCCCTCTCCATTGTAATTGCAGAGATCTTTCTTCCTGGAACTATCCTTATTGACAGGCTTTTTGGTCATGGTGTTCTGTTGCAGTAATAGAAACCCTAACTAAGACAGAAGTGGTATTCAAACTAAGAGAAGACAATATCCAAGAGTCACAGTGATAGAAATCAGGTTGGGAGGGAAAGGATTCCTTTTTTCAATTTTTCATTAATTTTACATCCTGACCACAGTTTCCCCTCTCTCCTATCTTCCTGTTCCCTCCCCCACCTTCCATATCC